CAAAATAAAAAAAAGTCATGTATACGACTAACAAAAAAGATTAATGAAGAAAATGAGGTGACACAATTTCAAAACTTATGTATATTTTTTTTAATGACTAGCCAAATTTTCCACTCGAAAAACAACATCGTATGAAAAAGAACGTTGAAAAAGCGCCTGTCATGTCAACCAGTTACCAGGAACATGCGTAATTGACACTTGACTCTGGAATATTATGCCTTAATACCGGTTTCGTGTCAACGGTATAAAGAAATTAGAACACGAGTATTGTATCGCGAAACCCGACTTGTTAAGGTAATTATAATGCATGATGTTGAACCTTTCAATTTATCACCTCATTCTCTTCATTCGCTCAACAAAACTGTAGAGGGTGGAAAAACACTGAATGAATTAAAGTACTTTATAAAAACATTTGTCAGTTCTATAAGGGCATTACTTTGGATAAAGCAAGTAGTTCGTTAAATTGGAATCCCAAAATAGCATAACCCTAATAAGTTGGAGAAGACAATCTCATGGATTAGAATCGATGCGATCTTCTTCTCCAAGTTATTAGAGTTTTGCTTTTAGGCAATAACGATTTTTAACATTTTAATGGATAGTGTATAACTGGGTTTTACTGATTTCATACTCCTTTTCATACTTTTTCATACATTTCATACTCAACTTCATACCTTATTTGAACCTTACCTGTACGTAATCCTAATTCGGTACTTAATAACCTACAGAAATACTTTGCAAATTAAATGGCTTATTCTCAAAATTCAATTACCAGGCAATTTCTAGTTATAACAAATACCGAAAACACCCAGTTGTTATTAGTAGAACGTAAATGTAATTACAACGCACAGGAGTCTTTCTTTTGTTTACAACTGCTCTATTTTCTGCAGAAATAATTTTACGTGTTACCAACCGACCCCAATTATATGATTTACATTAGGGTCTCTCCACAGCTTTGTTTTTGTAATAATTATGTGTATTTAGAACAAAAATATACAATTACACGACAACAATCACTGCTCTTGAATGTATGCCAAGTAATATTAAATTATGGTTATGTGTGTCACCATAGTAGATCTGATCTGATGTAAAGAAAATATCTGTGAAAATGATCCAATAGACAACAAAGTAAAACATTATAAAGGAACGACGAATAACTTTGGTTGACAAGCTCAAGTGGCTGCGGGTTCGAACGTCATTTGGTATACTACTGACAAGATCCATATTCTAACACTTCATTCGGCTTTTTTGGAGTTATGAAGATCACTAATAATGTGTGATAGAGTTTACTAACCCAAAAACGTAACAGGCAGTTAGAGCCCTGAAAAGTTTGACAATAGTCTTTCTACAGAACTTCGATATCACCTAGTACATACTTAGTTTGAGGAGGTCAGATGGCAGTCGATCTGCGTAAAAATCGAAGTTCAGCCGTATTGTAGTAAACTTAAAGCCGACAATAACCTATTTTGGGAAAAAGGGTCAGAGGAAGACGTTATTGGTAATTTATTTCCTATTCTGAATACTACTTGCAAATCTATGTTTAAAAGTTATCGTTCGATATAATAAGTTTTAAACATTCAATATCAATATAAAATTCAGCTTTAAAGCCTTAAACACAATATTTTACGTTCGTCATATTATTTTTGAAAGAAACACTCCACACTCCACACAGTAATGGAATATAAAACACTTACTGACCAAAAACATCTATGCTTATATTATATATGTAATAGTAAATTTGTTTTTTTGTTTGTTAAGTCCAAACCACTAAACTGATTAAAGAAATAATAATAAAAGCTACATTATCAGCAAACCATGAGGGCTACTTTTTATCGCAAGAACCGATATACGAAATGTTAGTTCTAAAATAAATGTCAATTACATAACGAAAAAGAATTCTTTCTTTGATAAAATAAGATAGTTTGTAAGTGACAGGTTTGTTATCTAGTCACTTGAATATAAAATAAATAGTATTACGTTCAAATTTATGCAGTTAACCCTTTTTGGATCTATTCTTTCACATTTTTTTATGACAGCTAAAACAGAGATTAAGGCTTCAAATCAGATCTCTCATAACACTCAAGTCACCTGAAGTCCCCTGACACAATACCTTCACAGTACAAAGTTACAAACTTTTTACGTTATCGTTTCAGTTAAATAATAATCCATTGCATCAATCAATTCCTTAACCATTGAAAATCTTTTACAAGTTTAATGCTGTGATTTAATCCTAAGACTGTGAAAAACTTTAAAAATATCTGTATTTATATTATTTCGTAAAAAGATCAGTCGTTTTATATCCAATATAATAATAATAATATGTGGTATAAATATATGGTGTGGAGATGTGATGATAGATAATATACACATTAAGACGGGTATTTACACCCAGAGGTTGACTGTCCGAGTCCACCTTATCTAAGATATCTGCAGGAAGAGTAAATAAATAAATAAGTAATAAAAATACAAGCACTCATTAGAAAAGGTCTAATTTGCTAATCTATTTAAATATAAAATGTTAAGTTGGTTTGTGTACGCTTCAAAAACTCAAAAAGTTCTGCTCCGATTGAGCTCAAAATTTTGACATGCTTCAAAGGTGGTTTTTATGTATTTTTGACATTAGTTTTCATCCTCATTACTCATCAATGCAACTACAAAGTGCGGTAGTGAAGCGTGTCAGGGTAAAGCTAATATTATATAAAATAGTTTTGTTGGAATACACATGTTAAAACACGTATAAGGTATCGATTGTGTAGGCGCGACATGAATTGTAACTCGAATAGACTTGTTGAAACGTATCTCCCACAATGCAATCAATGTTATTAGTTATAGTTTGACACACGATTGGTAATCATCATGATAATAATACATGCTCGGTAAATGTTAAGTAAAATTTGTTTAGTCTTCAAATGTTGGTTGGTTCATGTTATTATTAGGATAATTAAATTTATATTTTTGAAAATTGTTTGTTTCTGTCTATGTGTAACATATCAGTAAAACAATATTGTGTTACTCTCTTTTACTTTTATGCTACTAGGTTACATTTATACATGTTTTTTTAATAACAATAAATTTTTATTTTTATTCAATTGCTACATTTTACACTTAGCTTAATTTTATTACGTTATATATATTGGTAATAACAGAAACTCAAGTTGTAATATGGTTACAAATACCGATCAATTACAAGGTACTCCTAAACTAAATAAGTTAGCTGTATCTTCGGCACCCTGTTATTTCTAGCTAGAAGTCATGGAGAATATTGACAAACTCAATGCGGTCCTTCTATACAGATCACTAGTTTGTGGATGTTAGGTTGAAACTAAAAATATAAACTAGGGACTTGAGGCTTTCGTTGTCTTTGACTCACAGACAGACGACTCATTAATTTTTGACAGACAGATTAATGTGTTACCGATAGTATTTATTTCAAACTATAAACCCTTTTAAAAAAAATTGAACCGACTTCAAACAATACCGTCAAAGAGCACTAAAAATTAAAAAATAATTACAAATCTAAGTAAAAAACTATAATAAGTACCCTCAATGTAACAGGTAACATTACAATACCAATAGTCCCTTCTAGTCTGTTTGAAGTCGGTGCCAAGCCAAATAGGTGCTTGATAGTCATGGTAGAATGTAGCGCGGCAGCTGCAACAGTCTTCATGCTGCGCAAAACATGTTGAACGAGCTAAAGTGGACGCACATCTCTAATTTTATTATTATTTTGAATGCTTTAATAAGTAGTTGATAAGTTTGCGCACGTAATTGATCTGGTTGGTCTTTATTAATTAACAAAATCTTCGATGTTTCATTAGATTTTTTTTTTTTTTTTCATTGTGCTAATATAAAGCTGACATAGACCAGTATTACTTATTGTGCATCGAGCTTGGCACCGATAATGGGACCAATTCGGGAGCATACCCTTTCGATTACAAAAAGAATTTTGAAAATCGGTCCACAATTGACATACATAAAAAAAAAATTCAGACGAATTAAGAACCTCCTCTTTTGTGTTTTGGAAGTCGGTTAAAAATAGGTGATGTGATTAAGCTATCTAAATGAACAATGATGATATAATCATAATGAAATAATTGTAGTGTATTTGCTACTACAATTCAGTGTATAACATAATTATTTATGTTTTGTAACAAATATTACATAAAAATTTGAATAAATAATGGTGTCATAGACACTTGACAGAATAAATCCTCGTTGGAAAAAATCTTTAAGTATTTTTTTCTAAAAGTTATCTTAAATGACTACATAAGAGTTTAAAAATATAAGTATCTAAAAAAATTTGGCTTCGTGGAGCCCTTCTTATACAAATACTTAACAAGATCAAGCGATAAAAGGAAATTAAAGTTTTTTTTTTTTTTTATGATTATTTTCTAGTTATCAAAAAATGCAAATCTTCACTTTTTCTTAACTTTAAAAAATCATACATATATTTTCAAATTTCGATCATTCTTAAAAAAAATATATTACAAATATTTGTGGCCATGAGATTACATAGTATTATTTTCAAAAAAAACTAATCCATGTTACGAACGCTTCAGGTTATTCTAGTGTTCTATTTGTCCACTTAATTAGAAGGCTAAAAGATTTGACTTTATTATGAAAGCGGGGTGTTAAAGGACTCTTCAAATATCTATGAGAAAGCTGACTATGGACAGCAAAGTCCCTTATTTAGAGGTACTATGGTAGTTTCTTCAAGGTCGTAAAGGTGTCGTAAAAGTAAAATACTGATGAAGCCCATTTATAAGTTATCTAAAATGTTAAAATACATAGAACCGTAGTGAAACGTAGAACCTAACGTAGAAACAAACCCAAAAAAACAATATGATTAGATATTATTATGAAAATGTTCAGTACACGAAGAAACACAAAGTACTTAAATGAATTGCTATACCAATAGCTACTCTAGCCAGGTTGTGTACTTTATAAGTAAATATTTGAATAACAAATAACAGACGTCCATACCTTGTCCACAGATAACCACAATGTATTTAACTGACGACAATGTCACGACTTTGTCATACACATCTGAAGACAACTTGACGGATAACGAGTACACGCCTTATGAAGATCGTCTGGAGACGTACCTAGTTCCTGTTCTCTTCGCTATTATCTTTATCGTAGGAGTACTAGGCAATGGGACCTTGGTGATTATTTATGTAAGACACAGAGGGATGAGAAATGCACCGAACACGTAAGTAGTCATTTAATTTGTCTGTTTTATTTTAATTCTGAATAGCACTCATGTCAGGCCTTGTATATTATAATACACTATGTCTGTTTCATCCGGGTAATCTTCTAAACGACTGGACCGATTTTGATAATGTTTTACTACCAGCTGTCTATACGAGAGTAACTTTGGCTATTTTTCCTCTCAGAAAAACTTTTCAAAATTTTACCCGCTCCGGGAGTCGAGCCAATAAGGCAGCGCTTTTCAAATTCAATTCAATTCAATTTCAAATATAAAACTTAAGAGCACTATTATTTATTATGTGTATAATGTAATGACAGTCTGATTTTCATAGTATAGTTTCTGCATAATTTGCGTTCATACTCCCATGTGCGGAGCCGCAGGCAAAGGCTTTTATTAATATACTTAAAAAAACAATTTGATATTATATATATATATATATATATATATATATATATATATATATATATATATATATATGTATATATATATTTATGTATATCATAAATAAAATGTGTTTTAATATAACATTTTCCAATCTCGTCGTGACGTCGCGTCGCCAAGTTCTATTCGCTAAAATGTGATACGACATGCGGGATATAAAACCACATTCTAAGAGAAAGCATGATTTTAATAAAATTTATTATCATACTATAAATATGATGTTTACTCGCTAAAATTAAGTGATCACCTATGAAAATCACCCTAATTTCTGCTGACATGATGGCATAACAATTATTACTATGGCACTCAAAAACTTATTTATTTGTCATCAGGTACATATTTTCATTGGCACTAGCAGATCTTCTTGTCATCCTAATATGTGTGCCGTTCGTATCAGTCATCTACACTTTTGAATCCTGGCCGTGGGGAGATCTTATCTGTCGGATATCTGAAACAGGGAAAGATGTATCTATTGGAGTATCCGTGTTCACCTTAACTGCTCTCTCGGCGGAACGATACTGTGCTATCGTAAACCCCTTTAGGAGACTACAGGTGAGAAAATTGAATTTTTATTACAGTCTTGGATATAAGTGCTCTATGAGTGATTGTACTTTAGTCTGCCGGTCTACACCCGGCAAATCTAAATAGCATCTGCTCAGAACGTGTTTTAAACAATATAAGTGTACTTATATTGTTTAAAACACGTTTTGTCTAAAAACAGCTAAGCTATTTTTGGCATAAATATTATGAAACTCCAAAGAGTATTATCGAGACAGACACTAGCATAAAAATTATTTGAGGGATAAAGTTACTGCACGGATGGCGTAGTGGTTTAAGCGCTGAGTATTGTGGGTTCGACTCAGAACAACAATTTGTGGATCACAGAAAGTGTCGTCCCATGTGGGGTTTGAACCCACGACACTCGGCGTAGTAAGAAGCGGCGTGGCGACCGCTTAAACCACTACGCCATCATCATTATCACTTTAATCTGTTAACTAAATTTGCCCATCCTACTACTAACTTATTAAAGAACTAGATAGGTCAAAACCCAATCTTAGGTCAAAACAGAACATATCTCTAAATGTGTTGCATATAACAATCAAATTCGTGTAAAACACATTTTAATTGAATTGTTACATGAATGAAAATAAAACAAATCATTTGCTAAAGCTATTCCATTTGAGTCATTTAAGCCATTTCCAAAATCTCAGCAATTGAAATGAGATTACATATCTACTTCCATTTGGAAAGCTTTAGCGTATAATTTTATTATTGAAATTACAGGTACGTAATGGAAAAAAATGGATATTGACTAGATTATAATTAAGAAAAGAGTGGGACAATTGTGGGTTCTATTAAATTAACATACCAAGTCAAGTTCTTTATTTTTTTCTTCGTATCAAAATATATGTATTATATATTAGCCATATCACCCCTTTATTTTTATTTATTTTTTACGTGTAGAAATCTTTTCAAATCAAATCCCATGGCGGAGTTCTGGCCAACGCGAATGCCGCCTCCGTCGGCACACGGTGCGGTAACCGCGTATAGCACTAACCGCCAATACCCTCTGAGGGTGCCAGAGGCGCGCCCTTATTTAGGCGGTCAGAGCCGCTACCCACACCGGTGCACCGTGCAGTGGCATTGGCCGGACAACCCCCGTGTATAACCGTCTCCGTGCTGATTAGGCAAAAGTTGCCCATGGGCAGACGCAACGCCGACCAGCTTTGGTGGAACCTGTCAGAATTGCTCGTTTAAGAGCCACCTCCTGTCGAGGATCAAGCCCAGTTACTTCATCTGGGCCTGAACCGGTACGAGGACTGAGTTGATAACGATTGAAGCGTCAGGGGGAAGACCACAACGGAGCTAATGAAATAAGAGTGCCTCCGTCTTATCCAGGGCCACCCGTAAGCCCAGCGTCCCACTGCGCACGACCACCAGAGAGAATCCCATGGTGACCCGGTGCGCCGCCATTTCAAAGTCCATGCCCCGGGCTCTGACCAAAGTGTCATCTTCGTAACACATTACACCCAGCTCGGGGGGAGGGGGGCAATAAACTTGAAGGCCATCGACAGGGGTGTTTGTTCCACCTGCTGCGGAAAAAGGTTCTCAACCACTGTCTGCAGGAAGCTGGGCTGGAGCTACCTTTTGTCTGGCTCGTTTGTGGAAGTTAGGCATACAGAGATTTATATATATATACATAAAAAGTAAAGGTTACTAACTCTGGACTTTGTTTCAGCTTCGGAAGTTACCAATGGTGTGTGCTACTTTTATATGGGCTGCGGCGCTTCTTTTTGCAATTCCTGCAGCTGTGTTCTCGAGTACCACTTCTGAATATTTGGAGGAACAAAATGTCACTTTAATATACTGCACTCCTTATCCAATTGACTGGGAAAACTATTCAAAGTAATTCACATTTTTTTTTATCTGACGTTAAGATAGGTAATTTCTTTTTGCAGTATCATTATTAAAATAACAGGAGGTAAGAAGTAACTGAAATCTATAATATATTACGTTCGTAATTATTAGTTCTTTTCAATCGATAACTTAGACCCCAATTATATGTAAATGACTGGATAAATAAGATAAATATTAATAACTTCTTTTAAAGAAATCTATACTAGAGAGAATAAAAAAAACAAAAAGAAAAATTTAAAAATGACTCAGTAAATATCTATAAAGACGCACAATATATCCCTGATCCTCATTGATTTTTTACGAGTACTTTGCTACCGATAGTCCCTCTTCTACCGACACCCGACACACTTAAAAAAAACTTAATTCTACCTCATTATTAGCGTTTATTAAAAAAAATATATGTGAAAACCGTGTGAAATTGTACCTATAGTTTGCGTAAAGCTTGTTATATATTTTATTTAGATAACCATGAAAATTAATAACAAACGAATTATCTGTGCAGTAGATAGATGCCTATGAATTCAATAAAATTCCTAAAGCTACCTCATACCTTGATTCTAACTGTAGTACTGATTTAGAACAAATCACTACCAAAGCGAACAGTACCAAAGAAATCAGTACTAAAGCGAAACATAAACAAAAATTTTATTACGTAGAAACCTATATGTTTTAACAGACTAGTCACAAAATAGGAAACGTGATGGTCTGAAGGTTCCTAAGTTCACAAGTCAGGATCGACATTTTCACCCTTCAGGCATTACGGGTTTAGACCAAACGATTCTCCACATTAACACCCATAGTAATAGACATTTTTACAAAAGTAACAATAAATGGTCAAAAAATTTAAATCGATATAAAAAAGCTTTTGATAATTATGGAGAGTCATAATTCGCTTCTAACAAAGCTGGAAACTATAAACATCACCGATAATAGATTAATAATGTTTGAATCATACCTGAAAAACAGGTGGCAAATAGTCAAGATTAGAAATAGCTACGAAAATGAAACTCTATATATATTACACGCGGAGTTTCGTAGGAGGTTCTATCATGACATAGATCCCTGATGAAGTTAGTAATTATTTCGCAAACCTTTTGCGTGTACTTGAAATACTTTTATAGTGTTTTTGAAATAAATAAATAATTTATGCTAGCCTTTTTATTTATTTCAGTTTAGTGATATTTCAGGCAATGGCAGTAGGACACAAAGTCTACAAGATGGAGGTGACAAAAAACACACATCAAAATAGTATTTCTTTAACATATTAAATAAATTCAAGTTTTTTTTCAACATCACCATGTAACCACCGGAAATCTGCATTAAACTTTTTTTGAATATTTTTCATATTACTAACATACACTTTGCAGTAGTCAGCCTGTAACTAACCCTTTATCCATCAATCACCAAACCCACCAAAAGTTTCTTTTGGTTACTTTATCATATTTTAAGGCTACGAACTACCAAAAGTTAGTTTATAAATAGTCTTTCACTACACACTTCTTAGAGCCTTGATCGATGTTGATTGATCTTGATCATCATAGTAATACCTATTTTCATGTTTGGACATACAATAGGGAATATGCATGTATTTTTTTTTATATTTTTAAACGATTCTACTAGTTATTACATTACCAAAAATAAATATAACACATCCGAAATATAAACCGTTAAGCAAAAAAAAAATTATTAAAATCACTATCATTTTGGGGCAATTTGAACACGTCCATTTTGGCGCGCTTTTTTTGTGACGTCAGATTACACTTTCAGACGAATTCGATGTCAACAACGGAGTAGTTCACAAAGTTTGTGAAAGTTAAAAAAGTGAGTGATAAAAATTAACTTATTACCATGGAAAAGCCAATAAAAACTTATTATAAATATTGTGCCGATCCTTTGTGCCCAAATCATATCAAAACTGCACCTGACAAAGTATATTCAGTCATTGTGTTGAGTCTTTCTACACGGGAATTTAATAATTTAACACTGAAAACGTATTAGTTATTAACTTAAAATGAAACAAATAATCACCAGAAACCAAATATTACAAATACACACAACTTGTTGACACTCTTGACGGTGTAGGTTGACGTCACGTTTTATTCAACCAATAGCGTTGCGTTTTAGAAATTTGCGAGGGAATCTTAAAAAAGCCAATTTTTGATGATTAAATTTCACTATTAAATTATAATAAATTTCAAAAATAGTTGTATGGGTATCTTTTTTAGCAATAAAAATTACAAATAAAAATATTTTGTCCATTTTGGTGTCACGTGCATATTCCGTATTAGTAAGTGAACTAGACTTGCATAAGATATGAGTATATTTTAATAAAACATTACTGAGGAATAGATTGAAATGAGAAAATCGACATCGATCAGCAGCTGCCAGACGTTGTCTTGTCCAAATCTCAGAAGATTGTTTCAATTTTATAAAAAAACTACTTTGTGATTTCTTTGAGATTATCTATTTTTCGGGCAGTTTATTCAAGTTTCGTTTCAATAAAAATCTTAATAAACACGTAAAACATAAACAAATTAAAATCGGTTTTGACGTTATAAGTGATACGCTCAGCTACGGTTTTATTTTATTTGTGTTGATAACCTATGATTTGGCAAAACTTTTAGTTATTTTCTAGACATTATTCTATCGTGTTCTCGTGCGCATTTGACATTTATTAGTTTAAGAACAATTTCTTATTACTTATTAAGCTACCTCGTTAAGTCAAGAATTAATTCCATTTTCATATATTCTCATTTATTTTTGATTAAAGAGTGGTTCTAAGTTATAAGAAGATAATTATGTTAGTGGCTGGTTACTAAAATAATGAAATTAAAAGAAATATTACTTCAAGTTAAACAAGTTTGTCTTGAAAATGAAAGTTATAATTTTTCTTTTCATTATTAGAAAGTCACTTTAAGACTTTCAAAAAATTTGTTCAAAAGCAGTATCGCAATAACACTTCGTTTAAACTTCATTTAAAGTGTTATCACTTACTTTTCACTTACTTTTCACTTACTTTTGAGAAATTTTTAGTACAAAGGCGCCAGTGATGTCAACCGTGATGTAATCTCACAAATTTTACGTGGAAATGTAGGTGAAAATTCCTGGTAAGCCTCTTTCATTTGTCGATTCCAGAAATAACCTTTTATTTTACTCTAATACATTACTCCAGCCCTTAATTAAAGAGATTACCTTTAGAAAAAATACATTGTAGCCGTTGTTACATACATTACACTCTTACAGTGGTTTTGTTATGAAGCTTGACTAGCCAAATAGATTATATTTACAGTAATCAGTCAGTAAAATCAAGAACGTTTTGTTGTCCACTTAAATTTATAAATATATAAGACTATATCTTAAATCACGAAGGCTAAATGAAAAAACTTGTGTTGTTCTGTAAACAAAAATTTTCTTTTATTGTTAACACTACAAACTATTTTAAACTATTAACAAATTATCCAAACACACACCTGTAAAAAAAAACGACATTTAAAGTTTACTATTCATTCCTTCTCAATTCCTTATTTCTTTTAACTTTTACACTTTTATAAACACAAACAACTTTTCACACCAAATAAATCTTCATTTTTAATAAGCAAAGCCTACAGATTAAATTAGCATAGATAACAAGGTGAATATTACTACTCCTATACCGACAACGCTACGCGCGTGTATTGTCTTTACAAATATTTATTTTTTAATCTTACATAGTAACTGCCAAACATAATAATAATAAAATAATAATTCTTTTTTTTCTTCTCACAATCACCAAACAGTACAATATTAACTTACATCAATAATTAACGTTAGAAACAGTAATTGTAAGAGGACTGGTGTCTGAATTAGGCATGAGCCTGTAGCTCAGATCATCAAGCACTCACCCTTCTTAAATATTTCTTCGCTGTCATTACATTATTAATGCAAATCAAGGAAATAGATTTAAAATTTAGAGAAGACATAAAAATGATTCATTACTGCTACACTTAATTGCGTTAAAAATCAACAAACAATATTTTTACCTTTAACCTTTTTGGTGTTAAAGCATACTTTTTATTTCATTTTGTATTAATGATATTGAACCTTGGGTTTTTAAATTTTTTATCCCATAGCATTTATGTTAATCGTAATAAATTATTGACTTGCATTTGAAAAGGTTTTAAACATTGTTTCTGTTTATTCTCTTTATCTTGAAATTCATCATTATAAAAAACATCTGTCCTTAATGTTAGATTTCCGTATTATAATCCAAGGTTGCTTGTTTCAGAATCTTAGGAAGGTTTGAAGTTTGACTAATGACTCTATGCAAATTTTTACTACGACTTTAAGCAAAAAGTCAAACAAGTCACTAATAACGAATTAATTAAAGATATATATTTGTTTCAGATGGATGACTGTTGGTAAAGCCGTAATATACTATGGTCTGCCACTACTGGTGATAGCCTTCTTTTATTCGCTTATGGCACAGCGCTTGCTAGCCAGTACCAAAGAAATGCCCGGCGCTCTACATGCGGGTCAAGGAGAAGCGCAAGCGCAAGCCAGAAAATCTGTGGCGTGCATGGTACTTGTCTTTGTTATAGGTAAGTGGAAAAGTAATATAGTATGTGGAGTGTACTATAATGTACAAAAAAAAAAGGAAACGGATAGATTGTTTCATGCCTTTCAATATCAATATTCTTAAACTAGTACTTACTTGGAATGAGAATCTATCTAATAACTAGAATTTTATAGGTCTCACCCATCTCAAAGTTGATCGAAAATTTCTAAATATAGACTACCGATTTCTGAGACCAAAATGTTCGTTAACTTTGTGACCGTACGATGTCTTTCATCCGCAAACAAGATATCTGTTATTTATGATACGATTAGACAATGTGTTAGTAAGGTTTATCAGTTTATGATCCTTAAGCCTTTAACCTTTTTATACTCCATTAAACAGTACGGTATGTTACGTGACTACCACACAAACTAAAGATTTTTTTTCTTCACGACCATAAGAGCTTAAGTCTGAAGAATAAAAGAAAGCATTTACTGGAATATGATTAACCTCTTATGTTATATCGTCTAGATCAGAAGTATTGTATGGTCTTTAATTTTGAAATCCTTCCAGTTATCCAAAATAGAAAACTAAGTGTCAATTTTTCCCGATTCGAAATGCAACAAGAAATCGTCTAACACCCAAATAAAACTATTACCAGAAAACCATAGAAATTAAAATTTATGTATGGATCAAGTAATGATCAACAAAAAAAGAAGGTATTTTTGTCTATTACTAGTTAAAAGGTTCATTCTTTAATTTACTACGGTTAAATTTAATTGAGGAGAGGCTTATGTCCAGCAGTGGACTATTAAAGGCTGTTGATGATGATGAAAGGTATAAGTATTTTAAATTTTGGTACTGTCATCCTCATCCTCATCATCAAAGCGAAATAAGATGTAACTATAGAAATGTTAGCTAAATTTAACACAAGTTATAGGATATTGAATTTTATTATCTCAACCAAAGTTTATGCAAAATTTTAATAATAAATAAATTTATTTCAGACATTAGGCCATAAATGTGTTAGTAACAATAATCTTACAACTATGTTAGTTCTACATTACAACAAAACAAATTACAACATAAATCGCATAAACATAAATGGGGATGCGCTAGCATGCAGACGCATACACCTTTGTAGGACTGAAAGGTAATAATTAATGAGCAAGATCATTATATTAAGTTTGATGTTATTGCTCTTTAAAATATTCATGAAAGCCGACCTTCAATGTCTAATCAAGGTTAAAAGTAAAGAGTTCCCATACTCAGAAAAAAAAATCTGGATTACTAGAATTCGTCAAATGTGTTCAAATGGGTCAAAAATAAAAGTTATCACTAAAAACAAATCTTACAGATGTTATGGCATTCTTCTGCATATACTATAAGTTTATGACTATCATTTTTCTTTTCTGCATACTTTGCAGCGCTCTGTATAGTTGTACTCTAACGTCGATTCTTCCATACATTTTATATTACATTGTGGAGGAACGGATGTCATGTCCCTCCAACACAAAGGGAGGATCCTCCGACCAGGCAAGGTGATCATGCCTGGCGGGCCGCGGTTCCAACTATTGATGTTGGAAAGTTGTATATATGCTAATCGGCGAGGGGATTCTTCATATCGCGATACAGGATAAGCAATTCTTATTTAGTAGTTACTCCGTTGTTCGGTGTGTCTTCATTAGATGGCGCTGTAGTATGTTTCTGTTTCTTTGTATGTGGGAGTCGCCACATCACTCCCCTCCAAGACCGGAGGTCGATATATGATGAGTCAGCTGTCTATGCCCTGTTGTGGAGCGTGCCAGTGCCAGTAGTGAGTAGTTCCAGTGCGTCGGAACTGAGTGCCGCTGGTTCCAGTGGGTCGGAACTGAGTGCCGCTAGTTCCAGTGGGTCGGAACTGAGTACCGCTAGTTCCAGTGGGTCGGAACTGAGTGCCGCTAGCCCCAGTGAGTCGGGGCTGAAGTCCGCTGATCCCAGTGAGTCGGGATGGCTTGCGGTGCGCGGTGCTGCGGTGAAGTCCCCAGTAAGCCGGGGCGGTTGCTGCGTAGTGGCTGGCTGCTGCGTAGACGGGAGAGAAAATGCTCTTCTTACGTGGACCGTAGGTGCAGTGTGCTGTGCCTAGACGCTGATGAGGCCGTAGAGGTAACCAGACTGGAGCGGTCGCTACCTGCGTGTGGTGTCTTCATTAGATGGCGCTGTAGTATGTTTCTGTTTCTTTGTATGTGGGAGTCGCCACAACATTATCAATCGAAATATTGTTTTTGTAAATTTTATTAAATGAAATTTAAAACTGGCTAAAACAGCACTCTTCATCTATTTAAAACAATGACTCGAATATATATAAGTAATCGAACGGTTGCGATTTTACTGAATTATCTGACTGTAGGAGCCAGTAAGAATAACATACTGATATGATAAACATTTTGTTTATTATTTTAAAGCCAAACAAGAAGGTAGATGTTTTCATATGCACACATTTCACCAGTTATTTTTTATCTCGCTTCATACGAACTATTTCCATCCAGCAGACACCACTAGCCAAGACTGTGTTGCTACTGAATGTTTCTTAATAGAAAAACCTAATAAAGATTCCTACGACCCAAGAACCTACGTCAGTCATTGGGTATATACGTTATAATAATAAAACAACATATGAAAAACAGTCCATACTGTAATATCTAAAAATAATCTGAGATCAAAAGTAAACAGCTGAATATCACAGATAGGAAAACTGAATATTGCTGTACCTAGTTTATGTAGTAATAATGTATCACAAAACATCATCAATACAAGAAATTATATTTTATTTTACATAAAACTGGCTGACCAGCTTCGTCTGCGACTCTTAAGAGGAATAAAATTGCCCCGTTTTTTGTAACTCTTATTGGTTCTACCACATTTTATAACCCATAGCCTTCCTCGATAAATGCACAAAAAATTAAAAATGATCGAATTGAAAAAATCTTTTGGTGTTATCCAACAGATTTTTTCAATTCGGACCAGTAATTCCCGGGATTAGCACCTTCAACCACATAAACAGATCTGATTTATAATATTAGTATAGATTTAGTTAGTAAGTTTCATTTTCAAACATTCTTTAGTGTTTTCAATTAGCTATTATTATTTAAAATGTTTGCTTCAAAACTCTATGTAATTCTACGGAATACAGACAAATATAACCTTCTCAGTTGAAGTAATAAATTATAAGTTAGAGTTCGAAACAATCAGAGCGCCTAAAAGGGTCTTTGACAGCGTTAAAGCAATGAATGATTTATTAGAAGTGGGAATGAATGATCAACTCATTCATTCGCAACTCCAGTCTCACTGCACACTTTAATGTTATAAACAATAAAGTCGGCAAGCAATTTTGACCTTTATGTATTTTTATGGGGCAAATAAGTAGAAACATGGACGCCTAGTGTTAAATGACTACCGCGCCAATAAACACCTATGACATGACTGCACGGATGGCGTAGTGGTTTAACGTCGCCACGCCGCTTCCTACTACGCCGAGTGTTGTGGGTTCAAACCCCTCAAGGGACGACACTTTGTGTGATCCACAAATTGTTGTTCTGAGTCTGGGTGTTATTTGTGTCCGTTTCATGTATGTTTGTAAAGTCCCCCGCGACACAGGATTTATTCCTAATGCGGGAGTTGTCTTTTTTAAAATTGAAAAAGAAATTGAATAAGAGTCACAAATGCCAATTTCAATGTGATTAAAAAACAATCTAAATGCATTAGCATATGTTTATAACTTCCTATCGTTAAACAAAAACATTAAACGTAAAATCATCTTACTTTATGTTGTTGCTTGCTCGATAATCAATTCTATGTGTGCTTCTCTATTTCTGTACGTATGTATAAGTTAAGTAGGTAAGTTTCACAAAAATAAATAAAACTGATGAATATCTCTTCCAGGGCTTAAACCTGATTTTTAGGAAAATTTCATGACAATCTTTTCAGAGAAATGAAATTGAAAACATAACAAGCAGACAGACATAATAACTTCATATTTTTATTGTATAATTTCAGTTTTACTGTTCATGTGTAAAGTCAAATTATGGAAATGAAAAACTCTGTTCTTACTTTTATAAAACCTTTGTGATTGTTGTTCTTAAACTATGGTGGTTAGAACGCTGCTTCTCGAAATTGAACAACGTCCGAGGAAATGAGCAATTCTGCGAATGAACTTGATATTATATGAATAGAAAGATGGTAACAATAAGTTTGCATCAGTTGTTTCTGACGTCCGCTAATTATTAAACTTCTAGGTTTTAAGTCCTTTTATTAAACGGAAACTGGGAATTCTTGGCAGTTTGCATTTTGTTTGAGGAGAGAAGGCTAAAACTATAGAAAGAATGAATACCTCAGATTTCTTTGAGTGACCTTATGAACTTTAGTAAGTAAATAAGTTAGTATGAAAATTGAAATACGTCTGCTATCGGTCAATCATTTAAGGAAACATTGGACACCGATTGTATTTACTCATGTGATAGCTGTTCCGTGCGACATAATCTTTATAATGTGCATTTGCGTTCTGAAGATTAATTGTCCTAAATATATTTTCATTATTTTTATGCCAATGTAGTCACTTAATATCGATATTAGTTAGGTGAACGCTCCTCCAGATATTGCCAGCAAAATGCTGAAAAATTAAGATCTTTTTTGAATTTCTCATCTGTCATCTTTAAAAAAGTGAAGGCGATAAAAATATATATATATCTATATATATATATATATATATATATATATATATATATATATATATCTATTGAATCCATGACGTGACACACAAATAAGTTAGCATTTGTGTTCACAGTTCCTTAAATTGTAAGACATTAGTAACACGAGTGGCGTCAGCTGTGTAATACCAACTGTTTTCCTCTGCTCTCTTGGAGAACCGAAAAAATAACTTCACTCCTATAAACGTGTAACTAAAACTGAAAACCTGACACCAAAATCTAAATTGGCTCTTATTATTATGGTAATTGACATCAAAATTCCAAACTAAAGATTAATTAACCTAAAACTGGTTGCAGTGTAATCTATACAATTACAATATACAGCAGGAAACTTGGTGTGACGGTTGATCGAAATTTAAATTAACATACTAAGTGGAGTATGAACTTGCTATTAAGGTTAAGCGGTTTGCTTTCATTGTGGCAAGGAATAATAAATAAATAACTGTTTAATCTGTACTTAACGATATTTGACCTTTTTTTTTACTTAATAGATAAGAGGTTGCTGTTTGACGACCGTACTAATATAAATTGTGTTACAGTCGTCTTCCACCCAAAGGGAAAGATATTTATTGATATTTAATAATAATAATAAATTGCAGAGAAAGCATAAAATTAAAATGAGATACAAATGACTTATAAGATTTTTTTTAAGTTAATTATAAAAATTAGGATCCCATACATTGGAATTATACTAAAAATATGAATCAATAGTTATAAAATAATATTAAAATCTGAATAAATATTAAATGCGCCTTTAAGATAAAAGTTATATATACTATGTAATTATAAAAAATAATACTAAAATTTATGCTTATTTAAAACAAGTGATAATGATCTTATTTGTTGTTAATGTGTGTATTATTTGGTATTTATTATATTACTGGAGATCCGCCCCGGCTTCGCTGGGGTGCAATGTAGATACTACTAATACTACTAATGTGGTGTCAGTGTGGAGTAATTAATTATACTACTATTATAATAAGAGTATACTGCAGAACATCTTTATATTATTATGTAATATTTAAATATCTTCATCGTCATTAACAGCCTTTAATAGCACACTGCTGGACATAGGCTTATATTAATTTATACAAATATATTTATTTTATATATATATATATATATTTAGATATTTATTTAATATGGAATTTTATTAATTTGTAAAATTTGGTTTTCCTATTATTAACCATCTACTAAAAAGCAAAAACGCTACTATAATACGGTCCAGTTTGTTAAGTTAACTACAATGTTAGTAACTGAAATTATAAAACAATTTATCAAGTACACAAAAACAGTAAAAATCATAAAATAAAGGAAAGGAAAAAAAAGTAAGTTAAAAAAATAGTATTAGGCCAAATTTTGACATTTTTTATAAACTTTACTAATGTTTAAACAAAGTATACAAAGAACACCCATAAACTATTTGTGGATAATATATTTCTTTCTCCAAGTGGGAACCAAACCCTCCAACATGATTCGCAGCGTAGGTTCGAGACGAATATTTCGGCCCAGTCACAATTTATAGGAAACCGTGAAGAACTAGAAAATGTACTAAATTTTAATTTATATCGGAAAAATACTAATTTTTGCTAGTTTTTTTTTAAGAAATATGTATATAAGTAGATAAAATCAAGCGAAAAATGGTATAATCTGACATCTGTCAAACAAAAGAGAAGTGATTGATACATTTAATCAGTCTGGGCTCTTAAGCAAAACATGTATATGTATATATTTCTCAATATCTGTACCAAAATTCAAAACTTTACAACCAAAGTAAACCTTGCAATCTAAAACATTGCTACGCTCCAAATCGAGGGTTGAAATCTAGTTGTTGATAAAATAGAGTCACATTTTTGCGTCTTTTACGTCTTTGTAACATTGTAATTTTCTTTAATCTCGTCAAGTTTCATTGCGTTCATCGCTTTTGGAAAGTGTTTTAGAGTCATTAAACCTAACAGTGTAATCCTGCATATATTATGCACTCTCGTGACGGTTCTGCTTCAAATCTTTTTTTAAGTTCAGTGTAATGAAAATTTTAAGGTATGTTGTATGTGAAAGTAAATTTTAAATAGGTAAATCCAAAAAATGCATTGATTTATCCTAATTTATCTCATAACATTGATTTGCAGTTGTATTTGCAGGCTAATTTTACAGGACAATCTTAGTTTATGATGATTTTATAATTGCTAACGTGCGTCTCAGAAGACGCAGTTGCAGTATCTTATTTACCAATGTTTCTATAATATGTTGTCATGACTAAGGGATCAAATCAAAACTATAAGGAGTATTATAATACGATTTTAGTCTTAGAATTAACATAACTAAAAAGGCAAAGCTAAATCAGTGTGTATTAATTTAGGCACTTTAAGTGAGAACACGATTGGTTTTAATTGCTTCCGTTCTGAAAGTTTTAATATAAACAATGAAAAACATCATTAAATAAAACGGTCTCAAGTCAATTAAGCAGCAGCCCACCAGAAAGTTATTACTTTATTTGAGTTATGCCGAGATTAAAAATTGCGTCAAAATATCAAAAATTCTAGATTTTTTTTATGTGATCTGACTGTTTGATGGTGTGAGTCTTTTTGTTATTCATTTGCTTGAGCATTTCGTTATCCAAATCACTACTTAGTGAATCGGAAGTCAGTTAGAGTATTTTCGGTGGCTATCCGCTACCACGACTACGCATTGCGAATCGATTTGATTCGAAATCTTTCATAAAGTAACATAGGATATTGTAACTAATATAAATACTACCACTAAGTGCTAAAATCTAAAAGATGCAGGTTATTTATTTATCATTATTTAGGCACTTTGAAGTCAGTTAGATCGATGTTGGGATTTTCAAAAAAAAATTGAAGCCAAAAATAGATCTAAGTAGCGTGCAGTGGACTGCGATAGACTGATGATGATGTTGAAAAAGTCAGTTACGTTTATCAAAGGTCATTTTGAGAACTTTCATTACAAATGTGATTTTTGTTTCAGTATTCTTCATTTGCTTTTTACCATACCACGCTTTCGAGGTGTGGTTCCATCTTTCACCTACCGCTAAAGGTGACTACAATGACTTCACACACGCTCTAAGGATAGTGGGCTTCTGTCTTAGGTACGTGACCTATTTTAGTAAGTACAGCATTGCCTCCAGACTTATTAAAGCTAACTTATGTAGCATTTCTGCTGAATGTAAATGCGTAAAGTAGATTGGTAAACAAATTACCATTTATAACTTAATCAAAATCACTTTAGCCCAATTTCTTTTTTTTTTTATATATAATAATATAAGTAAAATTTGATAACAAATTTGTTTTGAAGTTTTCATTGAAAATTTAGAATGACTTAAACTGCTTATTAATTTGAGCGGTGAGTTTTAAATTGACAATTAATAAAGTTAACAAAATGTTGGGGAAACGAGTTATTAACGAGTATTATTCAAAGTTTAAATGAAGAAAGTTTATTTTACAAAATGAAATGTGACAATTTACAACAAATATCTAATTTTACGAAATTGATATCACAAAACATCGAATGTTTATAATCTCTATGTCGTCGAATGTTTGCTCTCTATATGTTAACTGTCTTCTTTACAAAAATCTTGACAAAACCTTCCTGTGACCTATCCACTTAACGCCGTCTACATCTGAGATTGAGTAGTCTCTTGGTAAATCTATAAGAGGCCCTCTACATTTAACAAAGTGGTTTTTGACAGATCGAATTACTTTTATGTCCATAATTACGTACTTGAGGACGTAATTTTTACGACATCTAGTCCATACTTCCATACTTATATTATAAATGTAAAAGTAACTTTCTTTGTTTTTTTTATACACTTTTACGTCCAAAACACTTAATCGATTTTAAAAATTATTTCTTACTACAATGGAAAGCTACATCATCAGCGACTAACAGAGGCTACTTTTTACGGCGATAAACGACATGTAATAATTATAACTTCACACATCTGACACACAGCAGTCTGATTCTAAACTATGCAGAGCCTGTACTATGGTAACCAGACTGCTGATAAACAAACTTATATATTTTTAAATACATAAATATTATTGAAAAAACACCCAGACACAGAACAAATGACCGAAAAATGACAATATTTGTTCTGGGTGAGAATCGAACCCACGACCTCCGGCTTAGCAGTCAGTGTCACTAACCACTAGACCAACAGGCCCGTCATACACGCGTACAAGCTGAATCATACATATTTTATGGAATATCATTTTTTTTCTATGTACAATTTTTTTATTGATAAAATATTCAAGTTTAACTTTTTGTATATATAATGGCTGCGATTGTAAGAGTACATTATTTACCAATTTCCTTAACCTTTAAGTCACGTATTATTATTTTTACCTTAGTTATAAAATGTAGTTTGTCTTTTGTTTTCACGTGTGTTGCATACCTCTGAACCTAATTAACCATAATTTCTCTAGCTTCCTGAACTCCTGCGTGAATCCAGTCGCCCTATACTGCGTGAGTGGAGTCTTCAGGCAGCACTTCAACCGTTACCTGTGCTGTCGTCGAGGTACATTGCACCCGACTTGCAGTTCCAGGCTTTCTAGAACCGCTGTTTGCGAAACGTCCTTCAGAAGCACCCATCGGCATCGCTGTAACAGGTTGGGTTAAATAGGGTTTTACTATAAAGACTAACAAAGTATTGTTTAAAGATATGTGGTTTTACCCACCTATATATTATGGGTGTGCTTGACTATTTCGGAACTAACGGCAGTCCATTCTCAATAAGGGAAGCATCTTGGTGCAGCAGAGTTAGGCGTCACACTTAAATACACACGAAAATATTTGTTGTATATTTACGTATATTTACGGTTATATGTTTCAATAAATATAAATGCAGCTTACTACAAATTATAAAATCTAAAACTAATAAAATCGTAGACTACTGCGAAACATTTTTCAGAAATGACTTGTCTTCAAATATATAAGAGAAAACCACTTATAATTTAAGTTCATATTAATATGTTTTAAAGAAAAAATACAGAACAATTTCTATATTTGGTTTATAATACACTACACTACTATAATTTCTAGAATAAATCCTGTAATAGTTTTAAACCATGTAGTGCTTTCATTGGATAAAATTCCAATCTAATGTTTTGTTAGATGTACATATGTCTATATACATAGAGTTTAAAAGAAAATCAGAAAAACATTCATTTTGAGCTCATGCAGAGACGATACTCATAGAAAATCGTTATTTTTATTTTAGGTTTCCGTACCGAAAGGGTAATACAGGACGCTACTACTAAGACTCCGCTGTCCGACCGTCTGTTTGTATGTCTTCGTGTCTGTCTGTCCTCTGTCCTTGTCTGTCCGTCTGTCACTAGGCTGTCTCATGAACCGTGATAGTTAGATAGTTGAAATTTGATGACGTATTTCTGTTGTCGCTATAATAACAAATACTAAAAACAGAATAAAATAAATATTTAAGATGGGCTCCCATACAACAAACGTGATTGTTTTGCTCGTTTTTATAGATAATGGTACGGAACCCTTCGTGCGCGAGACCGACTCGTACTTTGCCGGCTTTTTTATGGTATTATCCCAGTCTGAGATCATGCTAAAATTATCTCTAATAATAATAATCTTTTAAACAACAATCAGTATTTAAACTATTTACAAAGATTATAGAAGTAATAAATATGCTCAGCTTTCTCACACGCACCATAATATATTCGCAAGGCATATTACGAGCAAACTATAAGGTATAATAGAGTTAGTGGTATTTTGTGTTACAATTTAGCCATTCAACATTAGAAATGTTTATTAGCTCTTTCACAGGCCACTTTCACTAATTTGGTATCTACTCGCTACTAACTCTAAAATGTTAATATGTAAATGGAATTGATTCCCACTATACAGTACGGGATACATCTAAATAGAGGGCCAAAGCCTTAATGTGTTAGTGCGAGATTGAACCATACCACAATACAGACGAGAAACCATCCTCATAACACAGCATTTATGCTTAGCTAATCTATGCAGAGGTTATCACAAGAATATTAGTATACCTAATAGACATTAATTTTACTAATGAAGGAATGAACTATGTTACTAATAGTATTTAAAAATAAATTCATGCCTAAACCATTGCTGGTCCATGCTTTAGCAGATTTAGACCGGCTCAACAAACCACCCCTCGTAATTCTGTAGGAGGCACTTAATTTCATATTTATAAGTATATAGATATAGAAATTTATCTGATGGTGGAAGAGGAGACTACAAAATCTCATAGGTATCCTAATAAGGACTCAAAGTTTTAGAATTCGTTGGGAAGCTGCTTGTGCTTGAAATTTAATAACTTTATAAATGAATATTCTATAACAAATAAACGTAAACAAGCTTAAAAGTATTGTTTACTTTAAAAAGTTTACAATTTAAAGGAAAGATTCAGGCTAAAGCCATTTCTTGATAGTATTTATTATGTAATAACGAAAACATTCATTCACCTAATTGTTATTGATTTTTATTGCTTTTTGGACAACAGAAATATTAGGGTATTTTCGTCCTCCTCCTGGAAGCCGCCATCGTACAGGCCTGGGCTCCTGCGCCGGACAGGCCTGTCGACGTCGATGCTGAGGCACAGTGGTTCCGGGAGGCCATGACCCGCGTCTGCGATGCGGCGATGCCTAGGGCTCAGCCCAATACTGCAAGGCGCCAGGTCTACTGGTGGTCGCCGGAGATCGCACGGCTGCGTCAAGCCTGCGTGACCGCGCGCCGCCAGTGGTCCAGGTTCCGCAGGAGGCGTCGCCGCCCCGAAGATGCGGCAGCGAGAGAGGCGGAGCTGTTAGCGGGTTACAGGGTTGCCAAGAGGACCCTTCAGGCAGCGATAAAGCGGGCCAAGAGCGAGGCCCGCCGCGAGATGCTGGAGACACTGGAGCGGGATCCGTGGGGACGCCCCTACCGTATGGTTAGGGGCAAGATGCGCCCATGGGCCCCGCCGCTCACACGGTGTCTTCAGCCAGAGCTGCTTGAGAGGGTCGTTGGCTCCCTGTTCCCAACGCGAGTGGTGGAGCATACTCCGCCACAGATGGCTCCGCCTCCGGCGCTTGAGGCGCCTAACGTGGATGACGACGACGTGCTTGAGGTCACTGGGGTGGAACTAAGGGTGGCGGTGTTACGGCTTAAAGCCAAAAACACCGCCCCAGGACCCGATGGCATTCCTGGCCGAGCGTGGGTCCTGGCCTTAGTCGACGAGGCTCTCGAGCCCCGACTGCGAGGGTTCTTCAGCGCATGCCTCGAGCGGGGCCAGTTTCCGAAATTGTGGAGGACGGGGAAACTGGTCCTCATCCGAAAGGAGGGGCGCCCGGCGGACTCACCGTCCGCCTACCGGCCCATAGTGTTGCTTGACGAGGTGTGCAAGCTCTTTGAAAGAGTGATTGCAAGGCGCCTCGTCAAGCATCTCGTGATGGTTGGGCCGGATCTGGCGGACAACCAGTACGGTTTCCGTCAGGGGCGCTCCACCGTGGATGCGATCATGCGCGTGAAGGCTCTGGCGGAGGAAGCAGTCTCCCGGGGTGAAGTGGTGTTGGCGGTGTCCTTGGACATCGCCAACGCGTTCAACACTATGCCCTGGAGCTGCATCAGGGAGGCGCTCGTGTATCACGAAGTGCCTCTCTACCTCCGCCGCATAGTCGGGGCATATTTGTCGGAGAGAGCCGTCGTCTACCCCAGTAGGACCGGTCTCGGTAGGCGTGAAATGTCGTGCGGTGTTCCGCAGGGGTCGGTGTTAGGGCCACTCTTGTGGAACATCGGCTACGACTGGGTGCTTCGTGGTGCCTTCTTGGATGGTGTCGCCGTCGTGTGCAACGCGGACGACACACTCGTGACGGCGCGCGGCAAGACGCACCACGAGGCAACCCTGAGGGCCACGGCCGGGGTTGCCCAAGTCGTTGAGCGTATCCGGCGGCTGGGTCTCGAGGTGGCTCTGCACAAGTCCGAGGCCCTGTTCTTTCACGGGCTTCGGAGGAAGCCGCCTGAGGGATCTAGCCTCACGGTAGGAGGCACTCGCATCGGCATCGAGCCCTCGATCAGGTATCTGGGGCTCGTACTCGATGGCCGATGGGACTTCGGATATCATTTCCGAGGTCTGGTCCCCAAGTTGGTCGGGGCAGCGCGTGCGTTGGCGCGGCTGCTGCCCAACATGAAGGGACCCGATGACTCCTGCCGGAGACTCTACTCGGGGGTTGTGCGGTCCATGGCCCTTTACGGGTGCCCAGTATGGGCGGGGGCCCTGAAGGCCAGCAACGTCGCGATACTGCGGCGACCGCAGCGAATGCTGGCCATCAGGATCATAAGGGGGTACCGCACGATCTCCTTCGAGGCGGCGAGTCTCCTGGCCGGAACTCCACCGTGGGACCTGGAGGCGAGAGCCCTTGCAGCACTGTATCAGTGGCGCAAGGAGGCGCAGGAGTTGGGTCGATACCCCGAGATTCGAGAAATCGATGACCGGAAATCCCAACTCCGCCAGGTCATCATAGGGGAGTGGAGGGAACGACTCGGGCAACCGAGCGCCGGGCACGCCGTCATTGCGGCGGTAAGACCCGTTATGGAGGATTGGCTCGAGAGGCGTCACGGGACCCTCTCATACCGATTGACGCAGGTGATCACTGGGAAGGGATGTTTCGGAGATCACCTGTGTCTGATCCGCAAGGAGCCAACGCCTGAGTGCCACCACTGCGATGGCCAGACCGTGGACACGGCTCTCCACACGCTGGCAGAGTGCCCGGCGTGGGTTGAGCAGAGGCGAGACCTCGTGGCGGCCATCGGAGTGGGAGTTCTCTCGCTCGATAGCCTGATTGCGGCTATCGTGCGGAGCGAGAGTGCGTGGAACTCTGCCGTCTCCTTCTGCGAGCAAGTTATGCTCGCGAAGGAGACGGCGGAGCGGGACCGGGAGAGGTTTAGAACTCTCCCGGCCCGCCAGGCCCGGGCACGGGCCAGGCAGCGCAGGCGACTCAGGCGCCGGAGGTCGCAGAACGACCTTCGTCCTCCATAAGCGCAGGCCTGGGGGTGACAGGTGAGGCCATCTGTCACCCTAGCAGAAGCAGGCCGGGGTGGCGGCGAGCGCGTTGCGAAGCGCGCTCGCTTCCAGGGAGCACAGGGAACATGGGGTTCCCACACGGGGCGGGGGTCGTCTACTCGTCTGTAGATGACCCGAGGTATGTCGGGGCACCAGGGCCTTCCTTTCTAGGGTATACCTGGTTCCCCGGCTATTAGTACCCGGCGAAGGCGTGCGGTTTTAGTCGGTTCGAGTCCGACATGCCACCGACAGGTGGTATCCGAGGGGATTTCCGCACGGGAAAAAAAAAAAAAAAAAAAAAAAAAAGGGTATTTTCGTCAGTATACGAGTATTTATATGATGTGGTTTTAGAGAGCCAAACCATTTATTGTATTGTTCGACATTGTTTTATTTCTTTCAATAATTATATATTACTTATGATAATGTGATCTCATATAATTGTAGAAGCACAAGTTTTAAATATACACTGTGGGGAAATAAACAAATAATAATTATTCGCATAAAAACTGTATCGTAAATAGCTTAAAAAATTAAAGGATTGTGACAGTTAAAGTTACCCTTAAAACTTTGTGAGCGTCT